TTTTGTGAAAGGGACCTCCTGTGTGTCTAGGTCTAGGGCCTCCTATTTGTTCATAGGGTCTCCTATTTTTCCAGGGGGCCTCTTAGTTGCAGAGGGCCTCCTACTTGCCCATGGGGCCTCCTATTTGTTCAGGGGCTTCTTATTTGTGCAGAGGGCCTCATATTTGTCTAGGCCTCCTATTTTTCCAGGGGGCCTCCTAGTTGCAGAGGGCCTCCTACTTGCCCATGGGACCTCCTATTTGTTCAGGGGACTTCTTATTTGTACAGAGGGCCTCCTATTTGTCTAGGGGCCTCTTATTTGTCTAGGGCCTTCTATTTGTCCAGGAGGCCTCCTGCTTGTCCAGAGAGCCTCCTATTTCTCCAGGGGGCCTCCTATTTAGCCAGGGGGCCTCCTGTTTTCCGGGGGCCTCCTACTTGTTCAGGCCCAGGGGGCCTCCTATTTGTCCAGGGGGCCTCCCATTTGTCCAACAGGGCCTCCGATTTGTCCAAGGGACCTCCTTTTTATACAGAGAACCTTCTATATGAACATCGGACCTCCATTTGTAAAGTAGCTGGTGCGTCTCGGGGGCCTCCACTATTGGGGTCCCAAAATGACAATTGGGGTCCCAAATGTTTGCATTGGGGTCCCACATGGGACCTCAAAAGTATACAAAGTTACACCCATGGATACGGGGTGGCAGAGGAGGCATCGTCCCCTAAGAAACTTTTGGAGGAGGGGCAAACGTATATTCTTGCCCCTCCCTAATTTGTGCCCTAAACATGGGGAAAATTTCCATAACCTGATATTGCAGCTATGCGCTCCTACAGTTTGTCCAACGGTGCCTTTTGAATATGTTTAAATGCTAACCATTTCCGCTTTATATCATTTTTTGTCTTTTTAGATTCGATTTAGAGATATTTTAAGTGTGCAAGAGACGCAACTCATACCTTCAGTGGTCGTTTGCCGCTATTTTGTATCTACATAAATGCCAAATCGCAAGCGAGCGGAGACGGAAGGGCTAGCCATTCGCTTGCGGGTAGTTAGGACTGATGAGCGCTCATAATAAGCCACGGTCGTACGCATTGACCACATTGACCAATGCATATTGCATGGTATGGTATGGCACCCAAAGGCCAGTCATCATAGATCTGCTTTGGGCATTCGGAGGCTTGTGTGGGGCCAGTGTTAAAACTGGATGTCCACAGTTCAGTATCCGCTTTATTTCAGTTTTCACTATTAAAAAGTAAAAATTAATGATGCAAACTTTTGAGGGTTAGGGCACTGATCATTAGTGCCCCTCCCCCCTCTGTCTAAAGGCTGGCTATAGAATAAAGAGCATCAAACACGAACAGTAGCGGCGGAACACCTTCAATTAGGGGGGGGGGGGCACTGCCGACTTTTGGTCCCATTCTTTCCATGCAACGCCCATAGGGCTAACGTTAAAATGCCAAAATCAAAGGGGGCACGGTGCCCCGGTGCCCTCCCCGTTCCGCCGCCTATGAACACGAAAGCAAAATCTAAGGCATTTTGGAAAAATGAGTATGCCCCGCAGCGTCGGATAGCTACCACCTTCCAGTGGGTCAAGCCAACGGGGCCCAAGTCTATAATGGCACTTAAAGGTCGACTGCCACCTTTTTTCCACAAAACGGTTTTCACTAGAGCTGAGCCACCTATGTCCCAGACTGAAGTCGGTTTTCCGAAATTCGAACCCGTTTGCGAGAAATCGGAGACCAAAGTTCAGTTTGATGCCATTTTTTTAGTCCAAGAAAACCGACATCTCTACTGTTTATCGATAACTTTGAAACATGAATTTTCTTATCTTTTGGTAAATATATGCCAAAACTTTGATTGTTTCGAGATCAGAGAAGAATTTTGGAGTGTCAAAATAAAAGTTAAACTTATATATTCAGTAGTTCATTTTTTCCAAAAAAGTGTGGGAAATGGGGTTTAACATGGGCCAGACCCATTCCAAATGAGCCATGATTTTTTTAATGTTTTACGAACTTAAATGCAAAATAAATTAAACATGGCCAATTTCTCATGAAATCATATATTAGTAAATTATAAAATACCTTACTTTTTCAAATAAAATGTAATAATCTTATGACCTTGAAGTCTAGTGATGTGTAAACATTGTCGCTAGACATTAACCGATTGATAATTGTATGAAAATCGACAATTTTTTTCGCGATTCACGTGATGATACTTTGTCAGGTGAATTCTAAAATTTTGTTTTGTCCAGGGAATAAATCATAGGCCGATCTGAGAAAACTTTTTGAAGGTGGCAGTCTTCCTTTAACGATAGCACTAACCTTGTCTCACTTTTCGTTGAAGTCTGTTCCGAATGGTTTCGGCCACAGACTGGCTGCACTAAGGTCGTTTGGTATGTGCAACTGTAATTAAAGCCACCTGAGACGCCCTGACACCAGGCTGAAGCTGGGTTGGAAATGCTTCGTCTTTGCAGATATCACTGGCCACTGATTCTCGAGTGCCTGAACCGGTAGATGTCGTGGCAAAATTTGGTGTGATAATTTGGACCTTACCGCAGTCAGCACACCCTAAAGCCCTAATAAAGAAACGCCCCGCCCAGAGCTTCTGGATTCCCGTTCCAGTCCACCGTTCCTTCACCTCAGCCCGCCGCCGCGCTCCCTCACCCTCCGTTCCCAGCTTGACGAGCGTTTGGGCCTTTGTTAAGCCTTGCTGTAGGCTTACTGTATAAACCCATCGAGACAGCCCGTCTCGGTGAGCTTATTTGGTGAACTACTGCCTTGGGGAGGGTTTCTGGCGGATCGCTGTCCCAATATGTTTAGATGCGACCGACTGTCTTTGAATGTTTGAGCGGTCTCCTCCCGCTGTGAGCTAGTTTCAGTTGATATCTGTCTGAGAAATACTTTTTAAAGGAAGGTTAAATGGAAATCGAACGTAAAATGAACAGAGGAAATGGTAACGAGTTACCTCATTGCAAAGAATAGCGCGCGCCTACTTCAAAAGGTTTGGCACCGTTCTTCAACATCTGATATGCGATCGGGTTATGGCACAATTTTTCCCATTGGAGCTTTTTTCTAGTACAGCAATACGAAAAGCGTTACATCGTCCACTGGCGGATCCAGGGAGCGGGCATTTAAAGCAAATATTTACTCCCCCTCCCCTGGCCCCTGCATCGCCCGAAATAGACAAATATGTTTCCTAATAATAACACTTTTATCAGGATTTTTTTTTTTTTGCTTTGTGCTGTTCAGCAGTAAGTCCGTAAGGAATCGAAATCCGAGGAGTTTTTGGATTTTGGACACTTTTTGGGGGGTATGTCCCTTACAGCGTCGAAAACGCCTTTCTGGATCCGCCTATGACATCATCTCGACTGGGATCTTGCCCCCCCCCCCCACGCCAAAATCGAATCCGCCGCCACTGCTACAGGCAGCTCGGACGTGACCCCTGAGGCCACAGTTGTAGCACACCTTATTGATGAACGGGCACGTGTCCGATCGGTGGTTCTTCAGGCACCTGAAACAGGTGGCTGCCGTGCTGACGCCTGGTCCGGGAGATGTCCTGTCCCGCTGAGAGCGCTGCCGACCACCAGACCTGGACAAAGCTGCGCCGCCAGCATCAGCACCCCTGGAGCTGCTACTCAGCCGCAGCGGACCCCGGGCACCAGTCAGCTGATGAACGGAGCCTCCGTCCTCTCGCTGCTCAGCGCCGCCGCTGAGCTCAGCCGCACTCGCTGCTCAGCACCGCCGCTGAGCTCAGCCGCACTCGCTGCCGCCGACTCGTGTGCCTGGGCCAGCTGCTCCGCCGACTGGAGCGTCAGCCGCGGCTCACTGAGAAGCCGCGATTGCAGCAACTCGTTCCGTATGCCGCAGACCAAACGGTCACGCAGCATTTCATTGAGAACATTCGGTGCGAAAGAACAGTCCTTAGCCAGTTTGCGAAGTCGCGCCAGAAAATTAGCAACTGTCTGATCTCGCCGTCATTCCTGAAGCACGAATGAAATCGAAATCTCGCCACTATTTCAGATTTCTCTGGTTCGAAGTGACTTTGCAATACACTGACCAGCTGATCGTAAGTTTTGTCACTTACAGTTGCTGGAGCAATTAGATCCTCCAGCAGTCCGAAAGTTTTTGCGCCGATCGCACAAAGCAACACCGCCCGCTTCTTCGCCTCTTGATCACTCCCGATATCTTGCGCCACAAAGTACTGATTTAACCGCCGCGTATATGCACCGAAACACTCGATGTCCGCATCGAACTCGGGCGCCCTGCCGGCCATCGCCGCGGAGCACTCACTCGTCGCCAATGTCACAGACGGCGTCTCGGTCCAAACTGTATTCAGGCCGGCCGGGTAGCCCCCGGGTCACAGAGCCAACGCCCCACAATTCGCATACGTGCGCACCCGCTACCATGGTTCACATACGCGTGCACCGCCGGGCAGCCAGCTCAGCACCATGACAGGGTTTATCGAAACTTGATTGGATGAGCCTACCGGTAATAGCGATTTTAGTGTTTGCATTTATTGTTCATAGTGGTGTGAAATGTGGTTGGGGTACGACCGACAACCCGTCAGGGCGAATTTCGCACTGGGGTACTCAAAATTTCATGAATTTAAGACGTTTCCATGAGTTTTGAAGGTATGGATAAGTTCTAAAAATCCGGTTCTCTTTATCCGAGCCATTAACTCCATATGGTCCAGGAAAGCTGGCACACTACCTTTAACCGGCTGCCGATGCCTTGAGGCAAGCTTGAGAGCCGAGCAAAATTTTGAGGAAATACGCATTTTTCCAGCGCGTGACACGTGACCCCCCCGGCCCCGAGACTCGAAACTTAACACTGCATGTGCCCGTGACGTCATCAACACCGTGTGCAAATTTCAGCCCCTTCGACGGCACCGTTTGACCTGCACACGGCGTCAAAGCACACCTCTACACGGTGCAAACAGACAGAAACACATATGTACATACAGAGTTTCATTCGACAAAAAAGAGTATAGTAGATGTGCAGATGTTAAAAACTCCTTTCTCTATCTTTCAGTGCACAACTGCGTAGTCTGTGGAGGACGCCCTGCTGGATCTGAGGACTGAGGACGGATCTGAGGACGCCCTGCTGGATCTGAGGACTGAGGACGGATCTGAGGACGCCCTGCTGGATCTGCACAGCCGACGGGTCTGTGGAGGACTCCCTGCTGGATCTGCACAGCCGACGGAGGACGCCCTGCTCTGTGGAGGACGCCCTGCTGGATCTGCACAGCCGACGGGTCCGATTGTGTGGGGCGGACCGGGTGCGACTGGTGCGCGGCGGCGCTATGGCCGCCGGCCGGCTGCTGGCGCTGGCACCAGCCGCCCTCTCGGTGGTGGCCGGCGCGCTGCTGCTGGTGCCGTACGCCGTGGGGGTGCGGCGCGGCGAGCTGGTGCCGCTGCTGCCGACCGTCAGCCAGGCGGCCTCGTGTCCGTCCACGGCCGCGCTGGCCACCGCCCTGCTGTGCCTGCACGCGCTAGTGGGCGCCATCTGTTCGGCGGCCGTCGGCCGTCTGCTAGCGGCGCGCGGCGAGCCCGCCTGGACGGGCCGACTCGTGGTGCTGCTCGGCCTGGTCTCGGCGGCGGCCACGGCGCTGGTCGGCCTCACGCCGGTGGCACGCAGGCGCACGCTGCACTTTGCGGGTGTGGCCGTGGCCATCGGCAGCTGGTCGGCGAGCGCCGCGCTGCTGACGGCGCTGACGCCGCGCTGGCAGCCGCGGCTGCGCCGGCTGCGCCGCTGCCTGCTGGCGCTCACCGCCGGCCTCGCAGTGTCGGCGCTCACCAACAGCTCCCTGGAACCGGACGGCCACGCCGCCAACATGCAGCTCATGGACTCGGCGTGCAACGTGACGGAGGCGGCGCGTCTGGGCTGGCGGCCCGGCTCGTGGCGGCTGCACTCGCTGGCGGCGTTCGCGGTGTGCGAGTGGGCGCTGCTCGTCGTGCAGGCCGTGTTCGTGGCCTCGTTTGTGGGCGAGCTATGGCACAGGCTGGGCGCCCCGGCCGGCGTGTACGCGCCGGTGGTGGTGGCCGCCTCCGCTGGCCACCAGCCGCCCGACTGGCCCAAAACGGCCCTCTTCATAGCGGATGACATGTAATGCAACATTAAATACAGGTGTAACGTCTGGTGCGTTACCGAACGTTCCTGATGCATCCTCCTGCGCGTGCGCACGTGCAAACTGGATTAAAACTGAAAGGACGCTGGCTCCAAGTTCACTATCGAGGCTCTCACGTAGGTTTTGGCAGCTTCAGCGTCTGGCAATGAATTTCTTACCGCAAAAATATTACATTTCATATTATGCTTGGTAAATGTCTGGAAATTGCGTCTTCAAAAATGAACATACTTTGATGACGTCATTCGTGGCAGCTGACACCTATATTGTCCGTACGATGGCACAGTGTCAACGAACTTCAGGGAAACTTCGTTTTCAATGTTCCCGAGCATAGGCGTAGGAGCAGGGGGGCCGGGGAGCTATGCCCCCTCCCCACTTTCGGAGCTGGGGGGGGGGCAGCAGTTTGAACTGCCCCCCCCACAGACACACACATACTTTTTGCTGATTTTTGTGTCTGTCTGTACCTACCTACCACCCGGCACCCTAAAAACCAGAACTTGACGACTATTCAACTTGCCCTTCAAAAAAGATTTCCTTTTGTTTCTACAGCGTTATTGACCGCAGTTTCTTTCACTCAATGAAGGAATTAGGAACCCATATCAGAGACAAGACTGTGAGTCCTGGTGGCAGCATTTTGTTGAATACGAGGCGGGCCAGCGAGCACTGAAAAGGTATAAGAGTAGACAATACTGGCACGATGCAGCAGAATGCATATACAAACGACCAACGCTTGACCGGATCTGCTTGGGGTCGGCATAGTTCGTCAAAGGCGTAGTAGCTAGGGGCCAGGGTGGCCATGCCTCCCTACCTCGGTTCAAACAGACTGGGGGCCAGCAATGTCTGTATCTGCCCATCTCCATTCCACTTTCAGTGCAGTGGCAGTTGCAGGGGAGGGGCATCAGGGTCCTGCCCCCCCCCCCCCCCAAAGGCAAATCAGGGGCCATCATATCATTCCCCCCAAACAACCGATAAGCCCCCATGGGCGTATGGGAGCTTATTGGATTGTCACGAGGCTCAAGAAACCCACGCCAGCTATTAACAGCTCCCATACCGGTCTTTGAGGGTTCTCCACAGACCCGGAGGGCCCTTCAGTGGCGGTCAAGCTCCCACATTGACCGATGAGGACCCATATTGATCTCGGAGGGCCCTCCAGTGGCATTTGAGGGCTCCTAAACCGGCCTCAGGGGCCCAACCGGCGTCTGAGGGCCTCACACCGGCCTCTGGTGGCCTCATTTCTGTCTCCGGGGTCCCAAGACTAGTCGTTAGGTGCATCTGGCCTCTGAGGGCCCGGCACTGAATTCTGAAGACCCCGGATGCCGGGCTCTAAGGGCTCGGAAGGCCCACCTTGACGTTGGGCCCTCTGCTGGTCTTCGGGGTTCAACACCGGCCCATGCCGGTCTTTTAGGGCCCCACACTGACCTCTAAGGCCCAATGCTGGCCTGTGAGGACCCACATTAGTCTCTCAGGTCCCCACTTGATTCTGAAGACTTGATGCCGGCCTCTAAGGGCACGCATCGGCCTCTGAGGACCATCTTGGCCTTTGAGGGCCCTCTGCTGGTCTTTGGGGTCTAACGCCGGCCGATTCCGGTCTTTTAGGGCCCCACACTGACCTCTAAGGGCCCATGCTCTGGGGGCCCAAGACTTACCTTTGGGCGTCACGCACTGGCCTTTGAGGACCCACTTCGGCCTGTGGGGCGGCGGGGCCCATACCGGCCTTTGAGGTCAATATGGTAATGGGTCCCTTTAATTACGTTATCACTGGACCCACGAGGGTCGGCAGGGCCAAGTTGGCTCCACTCCTCCCAAATGCCAAGTATGCGACCTAGTATGTTTTATGTATGTTTTAGTGTCTTCCAACGGAAAAAAATCGATTTTTTCATTTGATTTATTTTTGTACAAACAAAGCAAAATAAAACAACATAATCAATGAAAAGCACGGTGGAAAATAATTCATTGTCTTCCTCCGGCTGAATGCGTTAACCCGCGCCCTGCTGGGGGGTGTTTGAACACCCCCCTTGTGGTTTTTCGCGAATATCTCCTGCTAGCACATGCAGCTTCAGGGGACGAGTGAGCTCAAGTTCATGTGATGAATATATCCACATGTCTACGAACTCTTTCACCAGATATTCTATTTCAGTGATGTCTGCTTGCTGAAGGTTGCGACGGGCTGTGAATACCTTTTCGTAGAACCGAGCGAGGGAACAGAATAATGGCTTAAACACCATTAATGGGTGGTCGCTAGTCCACTGAGCTACAGAGACCGCCTTCACCAGCTTGTAGCATTGGTTGCCTTCGAATGTTCCTTGGTTCCACCCTGATAGGATGACTTGGTGATTTTGGCCTCGTTATACAGCTCTGTCATAACGACATCTCCCGCCCGCCTCGTCATCGCCTCATCAAGGGCGGTCACCAACCCCAGTGTCACATGAAGTGTACATGGGCTGATGCAGTCTGTCGGATTCGCCACCAGTTCAGCAGAGGCACACTGCTGCCCGTGACACCGCGAACTTTTCGCTCGGTCGGAGCCAAGATTTGCAAAGTCCTCACAGTCCTTGCGGACATCGCGGGTGGCGCACTGGGCATCGAGTGGATCCCGCTCGGCACCAGTGGCCCGCCACCAGCACCACGGACAGGGATACATGGCGTTACCCGTCTTGATTCCCAACAAGAGCTGAATAAATCTTAACCCGGCGGCCGCTGGGCCTCCGCGCCACCCGCCAGCCGCTGGGGGGGGGGGGGGCATATAGTTGCCCCCCCCCCCTTTACTTTTCCGACGATATTGTCGCAACGCGAAGAGATAGAGAAACGAAACTTTGCACACGTATTTCTGAATACCTAACCGAGATTGTGTCCAAATTTGGTGTCGATCCCATTTGAAATGACGTCACAGTGACGTCAGAAGCCCAATCGTAGATTGGCGTCCCTTAGTTTCCTCACGATATATCCGACATATGAGACCGAGAATATAGGACCGATAACTGGTCAGGATATACTTAACAGTGTACTTAGACGTGTCAGAATGACAGCAGGTGCTGTTTGCTTCATTTACCGCCGCGTATCATGCTCAGCGACATCGGAAACGCTCCGTATTGGAAAACGACAAAACTTTATGACGTCACTGTGACGTCATCTTAGGAGCTACAACCACCAAACTTTCCTCAAATATGCGCTAGGTATTCATTTGAAGCTATGCCAAGTTTCAGCTTCGTATCTTATCCAGTTTCGGAGATATTACACCAAACGTAAAGGGGGGGCAACTTTATGCCCCCCCCCCCCCAGCGGCTCGTGGGTTAAAGGAAGACTGCCACCTTCAAAAAGTTTTCTCAGATCGGCCTATGATTTATTCCCTGGACAAAACAAAATTTTAGAATTCACCTGACAAAGTATCATCACGTGAATCGCGAAAAAAATTGTCGATTTTCATACAATTATCAATCGGTTAATGTCTAGCGACAATGTTTACACATCACTAGACTTCAAGGTCATAAGATTATTACATTTTATTTGAAAAAGTAAGGTATTTTATGATTTACTAATATATGATTTCATGAGAAATTGGCCATGTTTAATTTATTTTGCATTTACATAAGTTCGTAAAACATTAAAAAATCATGGCTCATTTGGAATGGGTCTGGCCCATGTTAAACCCCATTTCCCACACTTTTTTGGAAAAAATGAACTACTGAATATATAAGTTTAACTTTTATTTTGACACTCCAAAATTCTTCTCTGATCTCGAAACAATCAAAGTTTTGACATATATTTACCAAAAGATAAGAAAATTCATGTTTCAAAGTTATCGATAAACAGTAGAGATGTCGGTTTTCTTGGACTAAAAAAATGGCATCAAACTGAACTTTGGTCTCCGATTTCTCGCAAACGGGTTCGAATTTCGGAAAACCGACTTCAGTCTGGGACATAGGTGGCTCAGCTCTAGTGAAAACCGTTTTGTGGAAAAAAGGTGGCAGTCTACCTTTAAATCCCCTGCGAACAAAACGTGTGTGCCGGTCGAAGCCAATGACTCGATGTTTATCAGATTGAACATATTTCTCAGAGTAAGAATCGACTCTTCCGAATCAGTTGTTGCTGCTAGAATCTGTAGGTCATCAACCGAATTGCTTAGTGTTACTTGAATTGAAATCTTGAGCACGTTGCGACCGTGATCAGTGGTCGATAAAACTTCCAACGTGCCAACGCCCGTTGGAGCAAGATATTAGTGTTAGGATGTGTTGGTGCACTGTGTGCCCGGTGCCACCTCTCGGCGCGCTGCTGGGCGCGCCACTGCGGACCGCCTCCCGCTGGGCGCGCCGCTGCCACCCGCGCATTAGCAATGCTTCGACCCAACATTAGCAATGCTTCGAAGAGCTGGAGACAGTCCGCCCGTCTACATGGATGCATCCTTACGCCTGAAATACAGCATTGACTTATGACTTTCTAATCGTCCGGTGCTGTTATCGGCTGCTCGGTAAGTACCGCGTGTAATATCATGTTCCCTCATTCACTCCTGGTCACCCTTCGGTCACCCCTCGCTGGGTCGGGCCAGTCGGCTATTTTTATCCTCTTTCCGGCTAGGCCACCCGCTGAGCTCCCGCCGTGCCGCGCCGTCTGCGAGGGACCTGACCCTTCTGCCGGCAGAGGTTTCTCCAGGTGTCTCCAAGGAGCCATCATAGCGCTAAGGGTGTGCTCCGCATACACATACATTGATTTTCGCCCTTACTAGCAGGGCCGCTGGCACGCGTTGGCAGCGCCCTGCGGGCATTTTTTCGCTTAGGGTCATTTTGTGGTAAGGAGGATCAGAAAATCACCCTTCCAACTTTCTCCAGGCCTGGGCGTTTTATCGAGCGCGCCTGAAAACGCACAGTGGACGGAAATCACACTTCGATTGCGTTACTTCGCATTAGGTAATACGATAAAAAGTCCGCTCTTTTCTCAATCAATAAGGACAAGTGCCTTAACCCGCGCGGGGCTGGGGTCTCCAGCCGAACGCGCGGGGCTGGGGGGGGGGGGGGTAAATTTTACCCCCCTGTTATCTCCCGAACTAATGGTCCGATTTGGAAAATTCAAACGCCAATCGAAAGCTCTCATCACGAACTACTAAAAACATGTACTTAATTTAAAGTTTGAGGTCAAGGTCAAGGTCAGGTCAAGGGTACAAATTGCAAGTTTCTACAGTATCGGCCTTG